GACTCATCGTGGTGGGTGTAGGGAATGGGGAAGGAAGAGCGTGAACTGTGGAAAGAAATATCGATCGCTTGAAATATCTTGCGTGGGTCAGTTCGGTGATTAATCTCAAGGCCGCCCCCGAAGAGCGACAGGAAAATATCGAGGAGGAAGAGCTTGAGGAGGCGGGAGACGTACCTTGGGTGGTGGAGGAGACGGACAAAGGAGAAGGTGCGGGCAAGGAAGAGCCTGAAGGGGAAGGAATAGCGTGAGGAGGGTGTGGAGGAGGACGAGTGCTAGCTGAAATGTGTCTCTATCTCTCTCCTTCTCTCTTTTCCTTGCGCGCGTGCACCCTTATTGAGATCTTGCGACGAAATGCAGCGCTTACGGAAAATGGAATAAGACTTCTTAGGTCGGGCGTTACGAAAGACGAGAGACCGGTCAGAGGGAGGAAGGAGGGAGGCAGGAGGTCGGGTGGATGAAGGAATGGAGGGAGAAGGTCAGGTGGAGGGTGCACGATGAAAGCAAGGGGAGGGAGGAGGTCAGGCGAAGGTGGGGATCGGAAGAGGAAGGGGCGGAAGGAGATCGGGGTGGAAGGAGTGCAGGCGGAGATTGGGCGAACGAAGGCAGGCCGGGAGGAAGGGGAAAGGCGGAGGTTGGGTGGAGAAAGGAGGGAAGAGGTCAGGCGAAGGTGGAGATGGAGAGAGAGAGAGAGAGAGAGAGAGAGAGAGAGAGAGAGAGAGAGAGAGAGAGAGAGAGAGTAGAAGGAAGAGCCTGAGGAAGACGAAGGAGGGTCGGTGCAGTAGGAGAGGAGGGTTGGCGCAGATGGGGAGGAGGATCGGTGCAGCGTGGAAGGGGGTGGACACATTTGGCGAGGAGGATAGGCGCAGAGGTGGTGGAGGTATGGTGGAGGGAGCAAGGAGGCCGGGTGGAGGGTGAGAGTAATTTGGGCTGAAGTAGGGACATCGAGAGGAGGTTGGGTGAGTGAGGGCGGGGGGAGTCCGGACTGAGGGGATCAGGTGGATGGCGGGCGGGGGGAGAGAGAGAGAGAGAGAGAGCGAGAGAGAGAGAGAGAGAGAGAGAGAGAGAGAGAGAGAGAGAGAGAGAGAGAGAGGTTGCCACGCTGTGAACGAATTGATTTTGAAATGTGCCGCTCGGTTTCTTCTTTGTCTCTCGCCTTCCAAGGAATGCTGCAAGATGCACGCCCAGCCTTACGACTCACATGAGAGCGCTACTTGCAACAAGTCCCCCGGTAAAGATTGGATGCTGATTACATGATTCGTACATTACAAAACGTGTTTAACAACGGTGGCACTCTGATAATGGAAGGCGACTTCTGACACCCCCCGCCGCCAATTCTCAATCACACCATCTAGACCCGCCGAACTGAGACGCACGCATGGATGCCCTTGCGCGCACACACACACACACACACACATACACACACGTACACATTCAAAATTCGTTAAGTAAGCACAAGGCATACACACAAGATTGGTTGATCACACACATATGCAGAAAACACGGCAAACAGACTCAGAATCGGAATCTTGAGCTAGCAGATTAACAACGGGACAGCATTTTTACTTAGAAAAGCTCAGCGTTCTCGGACTGCAACTGTGTGGGTCATTTCACACACAGCGCAACGAAAGAAAACGATGCTGAGAAGGTGACGGCTTCCCAAAGAAAACGCTTGCAGTTGAGTAAAGGAAAAAGGTTCGTTGGTATTCCCTCCTGTTCTTGCGACCAAAGCCGCAACAGGTCATCCAGTTGCTTTAATATTTTTCTATCCAATCAACGGATGTGTCACACACAGAGAGAGAGAGAGAGAGAGAGAGAGAGAGAGAGAGAGAGAGAGAGAGAGGTCCAGTGCCACGTGGTCAATTGGAGATCGAGCGCAGGCCTCTCTCAATCTCTCTCACTCTGCGAAATCTCAACAAGAGCAGAGTGGTCCAGCTATCATAGGGAAAAAAATGAAAACAATCCGGGGCACTCTCCAGCGCGCCTGGGGGAACATTCCCCCCCCCCCTGTCCTGCTCGGCGTCCCAGTAGCCCAGTTTTTATAGAAATTCACTTGTTTTCGGACTGTACAACTCGTCAGTGTATCCACGACTACCTACTTGGGGGCTTCCTTTTGCGAAAGCGGATCTCCATCTGCGTGCCAAACAAGAAGGAACAAGGGCTAGTAGCGATGCCAGCCATTTCGCTTTTTTGGTAGGCGAAGCCCCGAAAAAGTCACGGAGCGTGCATGGCCGCATGGTAGAAAGATGGCGACGAAAAGTAATGGTGGTTCATGATTTGTGATCTAGTCCACTAACTTCGTAATATCCAAAAGAGGGTATGGATAGCCCCCTTTTCTCAAATGGTTACTCTTTAGTTTCTCATTTAGCTATCAGCTTACCGGTACAGAATTTATGCGCAGCCCTTTTTTTTGGGGGCTGCAGCACAACGATTGGCTGGTTGGAACCCGGGTGTCAGGTCCCAAACCGTTGCCTGGGGAGTGTGCAACAACGTGCACGATTCGCAAGCCAATCGCCGTGCTGCAGCCCAAAAAAAAGGGCTGCACATAAGTTCTCGATTCCCAAGCAGTGTATCGAGAAGAAAAATATGTATAGGAAGAAGAAAAGAGATGCTGATGGAGCATATGATGGTCCTATGTGGTTTGTTAATTGTAATTGTGTGCGCAGGTTCTCCTTGAGCAAGGAGGAGGAGGTTTGATGCCAAGTGAGTGGCGGTATGGACAGGAACGCAGGGTCTAAGTCAGAAGACTCCAGCAGAGGGGTACCATGCATACCCTTCAGGGTATGGTGTTGGTGAAGTGGTTGTCAGATATGAGGAGTGCTATGTGATTGCAGGGTCTCTCGTACCAGGAGGTGGTATTGGGTTGGGTTCCTTGGGTAAAAGAGAATGTTGTGGTACCAGTGCACCTAGATTCGCATGCGGGTGTGCTCATGTGTGCGTGCGTCGGTTTTTGGTAGTCGTAGTTATGTGCGCGGAGGGGTTGGTGTAATTGTGTCAGGTGGTGGAGAGCAGGGAGGGGTTGTCGGTTTTCATTTCATTAGCTGAGTGGATTGGAAAAGATGGTGGGTTTGTCAGTCTTAAAGGAGGTGGAGACGCTTGAGAGGCAGTTGGTGCCTTTGGTGGGTAAAAAGGGAGGGGACTTCTCGACGCGTCACAAGTACCTGCAGTTGGTGCGCAAACACCGGTTGCGACGATCAGAACTGGTTCTGAGGTATGGTTTGGAGATGCTGAACAATGGGAAAGACAGATCGAGACTGGGTGACGACCTGTGGAATGTATACGAGCAAGTGGGTGTTGCTGCTCTCGACTGCGGTGACCTGGACGCGTGTAAGGCGTGCTACATGGAATTGGCTAAGCGCTTCCCGGTGAGTGTCAGGGTTCGTCGGCTTGAGGGTCTCATCTGTGAAGCGAAAGGGTTCTGGTCAAAGGCTGACCGCCTGTATGATGAGTTGATGGAGTTAGCCCCTGGCAATCAACAGCTGTATAAGCGGAAGATCTCGATCATGAAAGCGCAGGGAAATCTCGCAGAGGCAGTGGAAATGCTGAACACCTATCTTTTCCTCTTCATGGGAGACATGGAAGCATGGAGAGAACTCGCTGACGTCTACACTACCCTCCAAATGTACAAGCAAGCAGCCTTTTGCTTCGAAGAGCTGGTTCTGTCAGACCCACAGAACCCTCTTTTTCACCTGGGCTATGCCGACCTATTGTACACGATGGGCGGGGTGGAGAATTACAGGACTGCAAAGAGTTACTACTGTGCTGTGGTTGAGTTGACCAAGGGGAAAAATGTCCGTGCACTGTACGGGATTTGCCTCTGCGCGGTGGCAATTAGCAGTTCGAAAGGTGGAAGGCCGAAAGAGATTGGAGAGGCATTCTCTCTTGCTTCAGGAGTTCTCGCGAAGGAGTACAAAGCGCTGTGTCCAGCAAAAGAGTCCCTTGTCACGTCGGTATTCAGAAAGCAGGCTGATTCGTTTTCGGGTTGAAACAACTCAAATTTCGGCTTATGACTATGCTTTCTCTTTTTCCCTTTTTCCCCTTTCTCTTGCTCATTGGGGATTCAATCGATTCGTTGATATTTTCATAATATGTGCATTCTGTGCTGTGAGAGTGTTACAGCTTCCAGTTGTGCTCTGTGTGTGTGTGTGTGT